GATAAAAACCAAATTGCTTAATTTATATATTTATTAATATATAATTATATTAGCACATTTTATAAAAATGTCAACTAATTGTGCATTTTTGCACAATTATTTGGCAAAATATATTTGTGATTCACTACATGTAATAAAACATGTAGTGAATCACAAATATATTTTGCCACGTAATTAAGATTTAATTGAAATAACGCCCATATTCATAAATACATATAAATCTCATATTCATTCAATTTTTTCTTTAATCTTCGGTATGATAACGATAGTGGGAGAAAAGTTGATAGAAAACATAGCATTAGGCACTTTTAAAAATCGGGAATAAAGAGGTCGCTTCATTCGCTTCATGTTATGTTAGGTTGGACCTGTATATTTATGTTAACCTAAATGTTGACAAATAATAAGAAATGCATAATAAAACTTATTACGAAGTTTATATATGACTTATTTTTACACAGTTAAATAAATTATTAAGCTTTTGATTAATAACTATTGAAATGAAATGCACAATTTAAATAGATTTTATGCATATTTTATTAATATACCAGTAAAAAACCGCTACTGCAGTAAATTTTAAGAAACAGTATTATAAAATTAATTTTTAACAATTATCGCCTATCATAATGTGTACATTATGTTAAGTACTACGTTCTTAAAATTTTTTAAAAGTTAAATTACCGAATCTAAATAATATATCAAATTTTGGTATTATTTTTGCTATCTTGTAATTGTATAAAATATACAATTATATACATAGGCACAGGAGTCGAGAAAACGAATTTGGAGGTAACTGCCCTTCCAAATTCGGGTAAAATAGTGGGAAAATAGGGGCAAAGCAAAAACAAAATTAATAAAAGAATCAGGAAAAGAAAGTAAAAAGTTAACAAATTATAAATGATGGCAAATTAAAAATTAGGACTCGTGTTTTTGTTGTTTAAAATTTCGAGCAAATCAATCTCCTCGTCTCTTAACGAAAGTTCTCCAATAAGTCCATGATTATATATGTATAATAATATATATTAAACGTATTATATTCAGAATTAAATGAAAAAGTTATATAAGCTTATAGCATATTTCTTCGTTCAATTCTGCGTAATTGTATATATAATTAGAATTTAAAAAAAATAGTTATTTAATATTGTTTGATAAAAATATAATAATAAATTTACAAGCAGACAGTTTGCAAATTTAAACAACTATGGAATAATGATGAGAAATTTTAATACGTTTGAAATAAAAAATACAGTATATATTTTATAGCAAAGAATATTTGTAAATGATTAATTAAAAATTTTAGAAAACACACATAATTTAACTAGCTTATTGTTGAATACTAGAATATAAATATTTCAAACTTCAAATCTAAATATATAAAATTGCTTGTCCTGACTGACTCATTCATTCATTCACTGATTCATCATCGCCCAGAGCAAACCGCTTAACCTAAAGAGGTGAAATTTGGTACACAGTTAGGGTACGTCATGGAAACGCACACTAAGAAAGGATTTTTCGAAATTCCAACGCGGGGGGG